AGCCTCTGCAGCGCCGGTTCCATGGGAGAACTCCACATGTCGCAGCAGACCTCTCCTGCCTTGTCCGCTACTCCCCTCAGCAGTGTCTTCGCTCCTTCTGCCTGTTCTGCTCCCCTCTCTGGCTCTGGTGAATTCTCTCACCCTCCCATGCTTCTGACCTGTACCCCAGTTCTTGTATAAAATAAATAAATAAACCTTTAAAAAAAGAGAGATGATATATAATGCAATATATAATACAATATATAATGTTATATATGTATATATTTGCACGCAGACATTGACACATTGATACATATTTTGCCTTATACTTTGTGTGCAATAAAAAATATTTTGTTTCTCATTTTAATGCAACCAAAAATTAAATATATTAGTCACCTGATTATTCTGGGTCTGTTTGTAAAGTAATGAGAAAAAGTTTGGATTGGATAAACTTCAGCACTGACACAATTTTGTTGATGGCTATATAATGAGGCTGATTATCATGGGAGACAACCAAAAGACAATTGACCTTGCTACTTTAAAAGTATTCTCAAGGGGCCTCCCCGGTGGCGCAGTGGTTGAGCGCTGGGCTGCAAAGCTGCCTGCAGCATCTACAGCGCCAGTTCCATCCCCGGCTGCCGGGCGATGGTCCCACATGCCGCGCAGACCTCTCCTGCCGCCCCCTGCTCCCTTCAGCAGTATACTTCGTCTGTCTGCCTGTTCTGTACCCCACTCTGGCTCTGGTGAATTCTCTCACCCTCCCGCACTTCTGACTGTACCCAGTGTTTGTATAAATGAATAAATAAATCTTTCAAAAAAAATAGTGTTTCTGTGTCCTTTGGGTAAATACCTAGGAGTGCAATTGCTGGATCATATGGAAGCTCTATGTTTAGTAGGTCAAGAAATCTCCACACAGCTCTCCATAGTGGTTGGACCAGTTTGCACTCCAACCAGCAGTGCAGGAGAGTTCCTTTTTCTCCACAACCTCGCCAACATTTGTTGTTGCTAGTTTTTTTTTTTTTTTTTATATGTGCCATTCTCACTGGTGTAAGATGGTATCTCATTGTAGTTTTGATTTGCATTTCCCTGATTACAAGTGATGTTGAACATTTATTCATATGCCTGTTGGCCATTTGCATTTCCTCTTTGGAGAAGTTTCTTTTTAGCTCTTCTACCCATTTTTGACTGGATTATTTTCTTTGTTGTTGTTGAGTCGAGTCTCATCAGCTCATTGTAGATTTTTGTGATCAGTCCTTTATCATCAGTGTTGTGTGCAAAAATGTTCTCCCAGTCGGTGGGGCTTCTCTTTGTTTTTGTTATTGTCTCTTTTGCTGTGCAGAAGCTCTTGAATTTGATGTAGTCCCAGCTGTTTCAATTCCAAAGAGCACCTGCACCCCTATGCCCAAAAATAGATGACTGGATCAAGAAGATGTGGTACATATACACCATGGAATATTACTCAGCATTCAAAAAAGATAAACACATGCAATTTGCAGCAACATGGATGGAGCTGGAAGGGATCATGCTCCGTGGAATAAGCCAGAAAGAAAAAGAAAAATACTGCATGGTCTCACTCATAGCAGGAATCTAGAAAACTTAAATAAGGGGCCAGGAAAAAGAATAACTACAAGAAAGAAAATATCAAAATCAACAAACAACTGTGAACCAGAGACACTCTATGGGGGTTGGGGGGCGGGGAAAGGAGGGATGGGGTCAAAATAAGGGGGTTGTAATTGTATGGGGAATATAAAAATAAAATTTAAATAAAAAATAAAAAAATAAAGTTAAAAAATAGTGTTTAATAAAAAAGTATTGTCAAAACATCAAATAATAATTCCTTTATCTGACATTTCTAAAGTGAAACAGTTTTCAAAAATGGCATAATCCAACTCTTAGATGTGTGTATCAATTTGCTTTTTAAAAATAAACATTTTTACTTTATAATAGTTTTAGATTTACCTATAACTTGCAAAGATAGTGTAGAGGCTTCCTGTAAATTTCTCATGCAGCTTCTTTCTTGTTAACATCTGACATCCATGTTACATTTGCCACAATTGCAGATCTATTGCTGGCATATTACAACCAACTGATTTCTACCAATTTGGATTCTACCAATTTCCTCCTGGTGTTCCAGGATCCCATCCAAGATATCCCTATACATCTAGTCATCATGTCTACAAAGTTTCCTCTGGTCTTTGAGAGTTTCTTAGTTTTTGCTTGTTTTTCATAACTTCTGTAGTTTTGAGAGACATTGGGAGAAATGGGTAAATTAACCCTTAATTAGGGTTTGTTTGCTGTTTTTCTCATGGTAAAAATGGGGTTATGATTTTGGGGGTAGGAGGCCACTGAGGTAAAGTGATCTTTTCATCATCTTTTATCGAGGATATGTACTATTAACTTGACATTACTATAATTAAAAACCTTGACCTCAGTGTATTTTTACAGAGAATTTTCACATTCATTATATCATGAGACTCTTTAACAGATCACAGAGTATACAAGGTTGGCATCCTCAGTTCCATTTATAATGGAACACCCCAACAAGCTCTTCCAAATTGTAGCTAAAGAAATATTTATAAGAAACATCTTATAGTGATTTTCATTGTAAATTCATTTTAGTGCATCACTGGTGGAGAGTATTCAGATACAGTAATATACAACATCTTCATACTCTAGCTACAACACTAAATTTGTTTGAATAAATTCAAAATATATCAAAATGTCAAAACAGGCAAGCAAGCAACAACCAACAATCTATAAGAACTAAATATAATTTCAATTCATGTTTTGAATGAACTTTCTTTTTGCAAACAGATTATTTTTGTGTTTGAGAGTCATACTTTAGTTTCTTAAAGATTCAAGTCTTTTACAAATATCATTTGAAAAGAAGATTGTTTCCTCATCTTTAAAATAAGCTATGTCTACAAAAAAGCATAAGATTTTTATTGTGTAATGATGTTGTTTACTTGTCAATCAGATTGGGAGGTCCCTCTGGAGATATTAATAACAACAATAATATGGATCGTTTTTATAATTACAGCAATAATAATAGTAACAGTTAATATGTTTAACTCAGTATAAAATGGGCTCTCTGATAAATGATAATTTCATGTATACCAAAGTCCATTGGTCAAATCCTGCTAGTATCTTATTCAAATGAGGAAACAAACTCAAAGGAATAAAGAAACTCCCCTAAGTTTATAGAGATCATATGCTTGAAGCATTTCGTTTGCGAGGGCTGCCAGAACAAAATACCACAGGCTGGGTGGCTAAAACAACAGAAATTTATTTTCTCACATTCCTTGAACACAGAAATCTCAAGATCAAGGTGCTGGCATTGATTTGGATCAGCACTGCGATTGATGTCTCCTGAGGGCTCTGTTTGGCCTGCAGATGGACACTTTGTGCCATGTCCTCACACGGCCTTTCCTTGGTGCCAGCACATCCCTGGTGTGTCTGTGCACCCAAAATTTCTCTTTTAAGAAAAATGCCAGTCAACCTGGATTAGGATCCTACCTGATGTCTGTGTTTTAATATAATCATCTCTTTAAAAACCTTATTTTGAATTCTAGGTAAATTCTGTGGTGCTAAGAGTCAGTATCTTAACATATGGATTTGGGGGGAATAAATTCAGCTCGTAACAGGAGAATATGATTCAAATCCAAGCCGGATGACTGCTCATCTCTATGAGGAGATGAGTCTCATACAATTCAGATTAGTAAAGCCACCAGCATTTTCAGACTTGCTTGTCATCACAGCAGATCATTCAATGTTTCCACTGATGAGTGATCTGCCTCCACATGATATAATGAGGCATTGAGCTCATCGTAACAGCATTTATTAGCTTTGTTATTTACCTTGTCCTTTATAAGCAGCTGGCCGTAGGATAAGATTCAGCTATGGTACCAACTGGGGAATAACACATTTCTGTTTTGGGGTGTTGTTTATTCAACCTTCACTCATATCTTCCTTTATTTATTCAACAAATATGTACTGAGTACCTGCCATATTCCAGGCATTTTTCAAAATGCTTTGGAAATGTCAACTAATTTAATCCTTACAATAGACATGAAGATACTATCATCAGTCTTATTTATAGATGAGAAACCAACACTCAAAGAGATTAAGTAATTTGCCAGTAATCATAGTGTAACAGAGTACTCTAAAAAGGGGAGATTCTGTGTTCCCTGCCCCATCTATTGAAGGGTGGAGTTGAGCAAAGAGGGGGATGTAGAAAGGACTTGGGAGAGAAGACAGAGCAAGAAGACTTAGAGGCACCTGGAGGAGAGAGACATGTGAAGAACAAGCCATGGTTGCTTCTCAGCCTTGGATTTGCACCAGGAATTTGGAGCGCATGGAAGGACACACTTGGAAGAGATGTGGATGGCAGACCTGTGGGGAAGTTGACAATGGCAGCCCTTATATTGACTTGTACTTTGATTTTGTTCTTTTCCTTCCAGACTTGCCTGGCCCCTTCTGCCCTTTTCCTATGGTTTCCTACCAAAAGGTGTGTTAGACTTGTGGCAAACTTCTGGAACAATCCTGTTTGGTTGGGCATGAGGGGATGGGTAACTTTGGGTGATCCTTTCTCTTTAATGTTTTTTCCCCTATGCAGGGGACAGTTATGGGTCAGATGGAAATGCCTGGCAGGCACCAAGTTAATTAAGTCAGGGAAAATGGTGAGTTTTCCTGAGTAAGATGGTCTCAGATGCATCTTTTACAACAGAAATTCCCACTTCTGGACACTCCCCTTCCTGATAATATACACTGGGGGAAAGTCAATGTTTATGGAGAAGCTAGGTAAGAAGCCCCACTCATAGGCATCTTTATGGTAGGTTATCATGTGTTGTTATGCATACATCCTGTCTGTGTAGCAGGCGGGGACCAAGCTATTTTGAAGGCAGCCTAGCCAGGATCAGCTCATGAGTCTGGAATGATCCCAGGAAAGCCAGAAGTCCATGTTCACTGCTTCTCCAAGGGTCCTAGCCTGGCATAGACAAATGGGGAGCCCCAGCAACTATAAATGTCTGATGTAGGAAAACAAGGCTGACCAGCTTGTGGCAGCCCCAGCAAAGACCCTCAAAGGCTGATTTTGGCCTCTAACCCTGGCAGAGGAGAAAAGGGAACTCCACAGCCCCATGGAAGAGAGGTCCTTTCCTTTTCTTTACGTATGTTAAATCTACTAAAATTCTTTTCTACTGCAGATCTTATACACTAAGGATATGTTTTGTCTTTTTGTGGTGGATGGTAGAAACTATTTAGAACATGAGGGGTTCTGGGCCTCCCCTAAGCCTGCTTACTAACAATATCACTGAGGTGAACCCAAGGCTTAAAGAAGGCAACTGAAGATTGCAGCCTTACTCCAGAATCTTCACCTGCATTTTATACTTCTCTTTCCAGTTAGCTGTCTATGTCTGTAGACTGATCACTGACCTTTATTTGTTTTAAAGAAGAGTAATTATTAGATTTATTGCTAACTTAATAAAGCTATGTTTTTCCTCCACTATTACACCCAATATGAAATTATTGCTGTCACAGTTTCTAGCAATCCACATGTTTCAAAACAGTGAATTTTCAGGTTCAAATTTGTGAACTAGGAACCAAGATGTCTTCCTTGAAATGACAGAAATGATTTTTAACCTGAAAGAATGCAATAAATACAGTGTTAGAAAACATGAGGAGGTAGACCAGGAATTTTGAGGAATTTCAGGAAGATAGAATACAGACAGGATTGGGTCAATGGAGAAACTAAAGCAGAAGAAAGCCACCTAAAATAGCAAAATTGAGCACAGTTCTTTCTGTGAAAGCCCCCAAGAAGCTGGAGTAGGAACAGTCAGTACAAGGAGCAGCAGAGTTCCAGGTATTTGCTTAATAGTGATATTCATAGCAGTAAAATAGTTGGAAATCACTTCTGCTTCCTTACCTTCAATGACCTCAATTTAAAATTTAAGATCGGGGCCTCCCTGGTGGCACAGGGTTTAAGTCTTAGAACTATCAAGCTATCGCCAGCCACTCTGGTCTGAGTTTAATCTCTGGTCAGGGAGGTAACCCACCTGACACAGCAGACCTCTCCTGTCTTGCATGCAGCTTCAGTGTATTTTAGTAGATCTGCCTGTTCTGCTCCCCAGTTTTCCTCTGGTGAATCCTCTCACCTCCCACGCCTCTGACCTATACTCCAGTTCTTGTGTGCATAAATAAATATTAAAAAATAAAATATAAGAACTATAAAGAAAGGTGGGGGTGGGGATGAGATTCACTAATAAGGACATAAAGAGAATCAGAGCATCCTTGTGGGTAGGAGGGGTAGGAGTGGGATAGACATAGATCTGCACATTAGGCAGAACTGGAGAAGAGGGTAGAGAAAATGATTCAAATTATATCTGAATTATATGCACTAAATACTCTCAGAGGAAGCTTTCTTACCTTGACACCATTGCCTATTTCTCTCTCCTCAATGCACCTCACCAGGACACTGACCTAATAAATGTGTCCCACCCAAGAACCCAGTACTACAGATAGTCCTCCTTTCAATAGATAAGTAGCAACTCAGAACATCTATTCCAAATATGTCTCCTGACCAGTTCTGTTCTTTATTTGCAAATATGAATGCACCAAAAAGTATCAATAGATTATTTGAAGATCATTTAATATAAAAAATGCTTGAAGGAATTGAATAAACAATCAGGGAAGTGAACACAGAAACAATTCATCAAGGACAAAATAATCAAAAATATGTAAGTAATATTCTTAAAGAAAAATTTAAAATATTGTATCCTTCAAACAAGAGCAAGTTGCTGTGAAAAAAGAGGTATCCTTTAATAAGGAAGGTTTGTTGCAAAATAAGTTGACTAAAAGAATCACTGATAGAGTTCAATAATAAAATCATATCAAATCATCTGAAGATTAAGTCAGACACCTGGAAGACCAAGTTAAGAAAAATCTTCCAAAACACAGATTAAAAGACAAAAATGAAAAACATAAGGCATTCCAGAAGGGGAAAACAGAAAAAAAAATAGAAGAAATTATTAAAGAAATAACAGAAGATTTGATGCACTGAAATAAAGACACCTAACTACTATGTGGGATAAAGTCTGAAAAAAGTTTAGTATCTGTACACATTCAAGTAATTATCATTCCAAGGATTTAAAAAGCCCTAAAACATCTGAAATAAAAATAGTTATCTGCAAAGAGAAAACAATGAAATATCCCACAGATTTCTTATCGGCAATACCGGATTTTAGATAATAACTTGTTTTCACTGTTCAGGGAAAGCATACACTGCATTTATAAAATACATTAAACAAGAATTACATATTCTTGTTGCTCTCCCACTTTTAGAATCAATCACAACTAAAAACAGTAGACTTAGTTATAGCTAGAGAACAGAAATGTGTAGTAGGGCTGGCATGAGGAAGAAAGAAGTTACTATGGGGCACTGGATTCCCCAGCTTTTAAATTGAGAAGCCAAAAGTTCTGTAAGTTGGTAAATTAAGATATAGAGGAATATTAAGTATATTTTTATAGATATAACTGTAAAAATAAAAATGGAAGCTGCCAGTTTTGAATGATTCCTTGGAGGTACAGCAGTATACTTTCCCGTAGTATATAATTTTCTCATGCGTTGTTTTATATACATATACACATACATATATATGAGGCAATGGTTGTTGAGACCAACCTGCAGCTTAGGTGGTCCCGGGATGCAAGATGTGACTTTGAATTGCAGCACTATTAGGAAGTGAGAGGTGAGCAAATCATTGTGTACACAATGCTTAGGTATTATCAAGAAGGGACATCTCTAGCCTTCTAGGTGCAGGATATATGTGTGTTCCCCCAGAACTGGAAGGCACTAGATGCCTCAGTCAATGTGTCTGCCATACTCTCTTCCAGCCCTGTGCCTAACCCCATGTTGAAAGATGAAGAAATCAGCGCTGAATTTATCTTTGCATGAGGATGACCAATGACAGGTCTGCAGTGAATCTCAGTGGTCCATGGTATGACCTATTACCTGGAGTTTACAGAATTCAATTGAATTCCTTTTCTCCAGAATTTGACTTCTGGATATGTTAAGAATTGGCTGGAATTCGACTTGGTCAGAGAGCTGAGAAAAGGTCAGCAAACTACAGCCATGAGGTCTCTGGAGTCCCTGAGTCCACAGCTCTCCTCTAGCTCCAGTGGTTCAAGAACATGTCCTATTGTATCCTATTGTATCTTCTGTTTTCAATTTCCAAGCATTCCCATCTCCCTTGATAGACCATGCTTATCCTTCCTGTAACTATTTCTTTCACTTGAGTTATCTTGGAAATGACTGTTTGATGTAGCCCAAACCGATATCATTGAAAGAGAATTCTGACAACTATGTTCAGTGTATTTTCAAGGGAAAATAGGTTTGGGGTGACTACTGTGCCCTGGGAAAATGGATGAGTTGACTCCCTTTAGAAGACTCCCTTTAGACTCCCTTTAGAAGCTTATACCACAAGAATTGATGACATGAAGTCGCATTTGCTTTTTCAAGAAGAGTACATTTTTGGGACCTCCCCAGTTGCACAGCGGGTTGAGTGCAGTGCTGTGAAGCTGTCTGCACGTGGCCTCTGCAGTGCCGGCTCAATTCCCAGCCAGCCAGGGAGAGTCCCACATGGCATGGCAGACCTCTCCTGTCGCACACACTGCTCCCCTCAGCAGTGGATTTCAGTCATTCTGCCTGTTCTGCTCCCCAATCTGTCTCTGGTGAATTCTCTCACCCTTCCGCACCTCTGGGCTGTACCACAGTGCTTGTATAAATAAATAAATCTTTAAAAAAAAATATTTCTGAAAAAAAAAATCAAATTTAAAAAAACAAGAAGAGTACATTTTTAATTGCTTATTTTTTTAATTATTTTATTTTTTAAAAGGGCTATGTGGCTGGAGGTCCCATACATCTTCCAAAGACTTAGTCTTCTAGAATGGGCTTAGGAAAACATTTGAAGAAATAACCTTAATGTTGTCTTTAATGACAGTGTTGCCCAGATCCAGAGATAACATAACATATAGTGCATCTAATCTTCACAATGAGGAACAACATAGATGTTTAGGAGATGTCAGACAAACCTCCTTACTTTTTATTTAACCCTTCTCCTGGAGAGTCCCTCTAGGAGGACTGAGAAAAACCAAGTTAACCCTTGCTAGCAGGTAAATTGTCTGACACCATCAGCCAGGATTTGGTTAATAGGTGAACTGTTAAGCAAAAATCACACAGAACACCAACATCAAGCAAAGCCACTCTGTAAGTGTGATGGGTTAAGACAGAAACAGGACCACTGTGCAATCATATCTGAACATAGACAAAACACAGGCACTGTCCAAAACATTAAAATGACCTAATATTCCCCTATTTTCATGGGCCTGATTCAGATACTCAATCATAGAATTAAGCCCACTTTCTGTTAGCATCCAATTTAGAGTAAAGCCCACTTTCTTAATCCCTCCCTATAATCACCTAAATGCTTTCCCAATAAGTAATTTCAATCTTTTAACACCTTTTTACTGAGATACCCTCTCTTCCTTCCTCCCTAAAAAACAAAAAGCTCAACTTGTTCAGGAACAGATGTGTTCCTGCTGGTGTTCAGCAGGAGGATTTGACAGGCCTCAGGAGTGTCACATTTCTCTGCTCCACTGCTATTATTACCTGTCTCAGAGCATAATATAGCAACCTTCTGGACTAAATTTCTTGGACCAGATGCAATAATCATCAACGTTTACTAAATACTTATTACAGTTGAGGTGGTTTATATGTATTAACTCATTTGATACCTCCATAAGACTGTGAGTGAATAGGTTAAGAACGCCCACCCATTCATAATGAGGAAACTGAGGTACAAAGGTACAAAGTAACTGAGTCAGGAGTCCAAGGCCACCCACTGATCCCATGCTCAGCTCCAATGCCCATTTCACATGGTTCCCCCCAGTACTGTCCACTGTGCTCTCGAGCTTCATTGAATAGTGCATGCAGTTGCCTGTCACTGGGCCATCTGCCTGCGTGGAAGGGCAACTATAATAAGCAGCTCCAGGAAATCACGGTCGGGTTTCCTGTAAGATATGGGAGCATGCAGACCCACAGGAAAAAAAAAAAAATCTGCCCTAATCATAGTACCAGAATAACTGGGCTTCTTTTAAGCAGTTGGATTTTTTTTCCCACGTAATAAAGATATTACCAAAATATTCAGAGCTTTCAACCTCATTTAAGAAAGGAATGGATGATTTTAAGTAAAATTAACCTAAGATATATTCCCTTTGTGTTGTTCTCTCCATTTTGCTAATGTGTTCAAGAGAGCATACTTGTCCATTAGTGCTATAACTAACATTTCTTCATCACCCCAGGAAGAGGATTCTGAGTCACCAGCCTTGAAGCGATAAATTACTATCTAGTAAGATTTCAACAGCTTTGTTTTATTTTTATATTTATTTTCTATCTAGGGCCGATGATTCTGATTTTACATTTACAAGTAATATAAAGTTTTCTTTAAAATTAGTTCAGTAAAAATTCGAATTTGTTTAAAGGAAAATGTTAAGGAAATAGTGATACAGGCAGTAGGAGACTAAGCAGTGAAACAAGACTCGTGATGGTGTTTCCTGAAACCTGATTTCAGCTTCCTCTTTGCTTTGGATCCCGAAAAAGAGCTGAGTTTAATTCATTATCCCCTTATGTCAAGATTGTAGCTCCCAGCTCCACAAATCTCACCTTCTAATCTAACTCCTGGCTTTATTTTCTATCTCCTCCCTCACATTCCAGTCTTCGTATCTTGCTACTCTATATACTTTAAGAAAACAAGGGTGCCAGATGTCATAATAAAGAATCTCTTTGATTTAATAACACCTTACCCAAAGAAGTGGCCCTGGTTACCCATAAACTAAAAAGACAGACTTAGGAAACTCTGAGAAAGTCCTGAGTGTCTGATTTCCTCTAGTGGTGGGAAATTTTGATTCTTCAACTTGAAAGGGAACTGGGATAATAAAACTGCTTGGACAGCGGATTCTCTGGCCCTCCTCCGTCCCAGCTTCGAGTCACCACGTGAGAGTGTTCCCATAAAAAGTGTGAGTGAATTAAAATTCTGAAGTTCAGTGGAAAAAGCAAAGAGGAGGTGCCACAGATGAGTCCCCCTGCCCACTTTTTTTGCTTTAAGACCCCTTGACCTTTTGTATACCTTCCTTCTCTTTCCACCGTCTCTGAGTGGGAAAATTCTTGGGGACATCAAGGAAGCCTGGGGTGCAGTGGGGGAGAAGGCAAGGAAGGAGACCAGCTCCCCGGATTGGAAGGGGGATGAGCAGCGCTGGCTGGAAAATAACGCCCAGGAGACCCGGAGGCACAGCCCTAGACGCCTTGGAAAGCCCAGCAGTCTGGAAAAGCAGGGTTTAGAGTCACCCCTCTTTGAAGAGGTCTCAGGAAGTTTGGGGGAGGGGCGAGCTGCTCGCTCCTGTTCTACGGGAGGGCGAGGAGAGACCACAGCAGCGGCAGGTCCCGGAGCTGTCACGCTTCCGCCCACGGGCGGGCTCTAGTGCTCGGGGCTGATCTGCCGGGCGCCGGTAAGTGGCCGCGGGCAGAGCGCGCCGGCTGGTATGGAGGGACTGGTCCTGCTCAATGCCCTGGCCACCCGGCTGCTGTTCGTGCTGCACTCTTTGGTTGGGGTCTGGCGAGTGACCGTGGTGAAGAAGGAGCCGCGGTACTGGCTGCTGGCGCTGCTCAACCTCTTGCTCTTTCTAGAGACTGCGCTCACCCTCAAGTTCAAGCGCGGCAGAGGCTACAAATGGTGAGCGCACCCGGGAAAGGGAGGGTTTGCGATGTCCCTGGTGCAGTCACCTGGGACATTAGCAGACAGCTCAAGAGTTCATCTCCCCGAAACCAGCCGATTCTTTACGCGGATTCGGACCCCTCTCCCCCTTTGTGGTGTCTGGAAGCTTCGAGGGAGCGTGAGAAGCTTGAGCGTCTCTTGGGCATGCGGGGACTAGCTCAGGGTCCCAGTGCAACTCTGGGAAGGCTCGATCAGTCAACGCAGCGGCAGCCAAAGGTCATCCAGTTCCAGGTTTGGAAATTTGGAGGACGAGAGAAAAGAAGGGAAGTGCTTGCTTGCTCTGCAGAAGGTTCCTCCAAAGAGGGGGTTCTTGGGGGCAAGAAGGGTGTCATTACCCTGCTTTCTGAATTTGGGGCTAGGGGGTGTGCACGGGTTACTATGTGTGCATGCAGTTGTGGGAATGACCCTCAAAGGGTATCAGTAACTTTTGCAAGACTTTTGCAAGTCAGGCAGCTCCCAGGGCAAGAATCCTCACCTGTCTTTGGTTTCCAGCCCACTTCCTTTCCTTCCATCCCAGGCCAGAGGGTGCACTCAGGCATGGCCCAGGCTTCAGGTGCCTGGGATGTGTAGCTTTGGGGTTTGGTTAACAACCTGTCTTGTCAAAGATGATTGCAACGCAATTAGAGGGACCAGCAAGCGGTGGTTCTGACTTAACCATAACGTGCAAGAACTACAGGCTCTGCACAGTACTTTATTTGACCTGAATGGCAATAGAAGAATTGAGAAAATGGTTCTCTTGCCAATTACAAAGAGCCTCCATTCCTGTAAGTTCCAGTAGATTTTCACCCCAAATTTCTTTAAGTAAGCCTCTCCGTATATTGTTTTTAAAAAATGTGACTGTGTTTTTATATACCCCAATATTTTTAAAAACATCTAATGCTATGAGAATGGAAAAAAAAAAAAAGCAGTATTAGCCAATCCAAGAATTACATACACTGTGGTACTGTAGTTAGGGATCAGGCACCGGGAGGAAAAAAAAAAAAAAACATACAAAAATATACCAAATTTTTGTGTAGTTTTATATATTAAGCTAGAAAAAGCTGTGAATTTTATGACAGTTCAAGGAAGAGACTGTTATCTTATGATGGTGCTTTCTTAAATTTTCCATTATTGAAGATGCCTAGAATGTCACTGAAAAATTTATTCAAGTAGAATACTTACTTCCTACAAGGAACCTTGGAATGTTACCGCCCCTCCTCCTCACCCCATGAACAACTTATTAAGCAGGAGAGATGTGAGGTATTTGTAATGTGCCATTTGGAAATTTCAAAGAAAGCAGTATTCACTTTCTAAATAAACCATAGGGTTAAAGAAACAGAAGGGAGAAAAGTGTTCATCCAGCAGGTCATATGAGATTGAGTTAGTTTTTACCAAGTAATTCTAATATGCCAGGTTAGAAATTTCTTTAAAAACAGGAGCATGAAGACTGAGGCTGAAAAATATTCCATGTCAAGTAGATCTGCCACCAACCACCAGAGTTTCTGAGAGAAATGCCAACTTTAGAAGATGGACCAACTTAGCAGGACCTGAAATATCCCATCTCCTTGCCAGAAGCCTTAGCTCAGGTTAAGTCAAAATCCCACTCCAGTTGTATAGAAATAGTGTAGCCAAAGGAACTTTACTTTCAGGTCTATATCATCAGCTCATTCAGACTGATGTGTGACTTGCAATCAAGATGCAACAGGATGGCTGATGGTCAATGTGTAAACTTAAACAGAGAGCTGGGGACAACTTTGTGTTTAGAGTGTGACTTTAAAACCAGATAGATACTAGTTTCCAGAAGCCACAAGGGGGAGGAAAAAGTGGATGGAGGAGGAAAAGGGTAGGACATTAACAGGGTAGTTTTGGTGTAGGGTGAGTGAGACATGTGCATGTATGGGTGGGGGGAGTGTTTGAAAATCTACCCCCAAAAGGTATATAAATATGTAAACATTGACAAACTAATACAATTTGAGAAAAAACTTTCATGATTAAAAACATGAAATCAAAAAGATAATGGAATAAAATATGAGTTTTCCTACTTATTTGCTGTAAGGTGTTTGCACAAGTTACTTAATCTCTCTGACCTTCAGTTGCCTCACCTGTAAATACTAATTTCATAGGTCATTAGAGCATTAAAAGAAATAATATATGTTGGTCAATGACTTAAAAAGGAGTGTGTTTTCTACATCCTAAGATTTTTCTTTTTCTTATTGAACTATAGTCAGTGTCAATTGGACACAGTTTATGTCTGTACAAATCAAACAAATTTACTTGACGGATTGACCAATAAACCATTAGTTCAGAGTCAAAAAAAGTAGAAAATAATCCTCACTTTTCTTTCAGAAGAGGTCCATGATATATGTAGTAAGTTACAGCATCAATCAAAAACAATCTTACTGGTTGAATATCTAGGCTAATATTTGAAAGTAAGAAAAGAAAAAAAAAGTTCATAGATTTAGTTCTTTACAAAATTTCAGGAACTGCTGAGTTTTCAGAAATGATGTAAATAGAAATGTGATTAGTAATGCTTTGTTTTACCCAATACCACTGAATTAGAAAATATGATAATTTTTTATGGGAGAAAGTCCACATGCTATTGTATCATAATTTTGAGGGGAAAAAATCAAAAGATGGAATGCTAAATTAAAAAAGGTAATATCCTTGAAATAGTATGGCAGCAATTTAAGAGTTTGATGTTGAGCCTATTTCACTTCTTTTTTTTTTAAAGATTTATTTATTATTTATACAAGCACTGGGTACAATCAGAAGTGCAGGAGGGTGAGAGAATTCACCAGAGCCAGAGCGGGGAACAGAACAGACAGACTGACGAAATACACTGCTGAGGGGAGCAGCGGGCACAGCAGGAGAGGTCTGCGCGGCATGTGGGACCCTTGCCCACAGCCCGGGATGGAACCAGCACTGCAGAGGCTGTGGGCAGCTTCACAGCCGAGCGCTCAAACGCTGCACCACCAGGGGAGGCCCTAGCCTATTTCACTTCTGTGATGAAGCTTTCTGAATAAAGCTAGGCACAATTTTTTATTGTTTTTGAGTAATAAAAACATTCCCTTCAGAAAATCTAGAATTATGGGATAAAAAAACAAGGTTAATATGTATTGATTTATATGCTTTTCTCAATAGCTATAGATACATGGGTATACCTTTGCTTCCATTGGTCTTCCATTTTGGAACCTACCTTTTAGAATGAGAAGTAATATGAGAGGGAATATGTACAAAAATATTAATTTCCCTCTTGTTAATGGAAAATAAAGCTGAAAGCAACCCAATTAACCATCAATAGAATTATTGAAAAATTGTTATATATCTCCAATGTAGAGTATTTTGCTGGTGTTAAAAATAATGAGTTAGATTTTAGCTACTGGACTGGAGGGTTATCCATGATTCAGGAGAATAAAGTTAAAGAATTATGTAGATCATGGTCTTATTTTTTAAAAAAGTCTATTTTTAAAAGAATTACCCTTTGTATCAATTGAATACATCATCTCTTCATAATCAAGAAGAAGAAAAAGAAACTATTCCATATTGAAATCAATCAAATATCACCGAATGGTAGACCAAGCATACACAAATGAAGTGTACATTTCTTTCTTGGAACATCAGATCCATAAGCCTCCTTTAGACTATTCCAGGCTAATCTGAACCTTGTTCATTGTTCTTTTTTTTTTTTTACTAAAATTTACATCTGAACCCAAATAAATCAAACCTACAGAAATCTTGGAACAGTGAACAGGGCTATAGAGGAAATGTGAACGAAATTTCTTGAAACGTAGCAAACATATTACACTTGTCCAAAGAATGTTTCTTTAGCTATCCCCTGGAAAGGAAAAGTGGAACTAGAGATGCTGAGCTCAGCTGTCCAGGGACACAGCAACATTACGTCAACACTAGTAACTTGCCAGTTGGAGAAGTTTAATTCGTTGGACTCCTATAGGACATGGGGGTGAGCCAACAACACATGCCTTGTTAAATCCAATAAATGTGTGCAAGTGGAAATTGCTCTTTTGCTTAGTATTTATTTCACCTGCACATTCACTTTTCTGTAAAACAGAAATTAGTATCATTTTGTTTTATTTTTTTTTCTTGACTTTATTTTCTATTGTCTGGGCAACAATCCAATGGATTTGTAAATTACTATTTAAGTCAAATATAAGATACTATTTTTGTTGCTTTCCAGTTAATATTGATAAAATATTCCTCAGGGCTAGAGAAAATTGTGACAAGTTTGAAGCCTGTTCATTTGAAAACAGGCATTATCTGAGATTAAGTAGGAATTTCAGTTGAATTTATTGGCAAAAAACACATAGAATTTCAAACATTGAACTTTTTTTTTCTATCAGAATTTCAAAAATACAGGGGAATAAAACTAAGTTTATAAAATACCTTACCAATGTGGCCACCTTTCATAGTTCTCTCTTTTTTGCTTTTCCTCTATTAATTTCAATTTGCTGAATTGCCTAATAAAGAGGAACAATGCTAGGCTAAACACTGTGTGATCAGGCAGAAGAAACAGAAAACAAGCATACCTGACACGTTAAAATAAAAGGTAGTAGTGGGCCTCCTCTGGTGGCGCAGTGGTTGAGCGCTCGGCTGCGAAGCTACCCGCAGCCTATGCAGCGCTGGTTTGATCCCCGGCTGCCAGCAAGGGTCCCACATGGCACAACAGACCTCTCCTGCCTTGCCCGCTGCTCTCCTCAGCAATGTATTTCGTCAGTCTGACTGTTCTGTTCCCCGCTCTCGCTCTGGTGAATTCTCTCACCCTCCCGCACTTCTGACTGTACCCAGTGCTTGTATAAATAAATAAATCTTTTTCAAAATAAATAAATAAATAAAGGTAGCATTTGATTTAATGCTTACATGTGTGGAACTAGGAATCAGTACAAATAGTTAGCATTTGCTATGCTCAGGCTCATCCAGAGTTCTACAAAGATTATCCCATTTGATCCTAATAGCAGCTGTAA